ATCGTGTTATCTTAATGGCTTGTCCAAAGAAATATGTGGCTTTGTCAGCTCTTTATTTCAGCTCTGCGGGAGTTGAGCCACATAAAAGCAAGTCCCTTGCAAGTCCCTTGACAAATAAATGTCCAACTATGTGAATTCGGGACATTTGCTCTCCATCGTGCCTGCTGCTAGCATGTGCTAAATAAAAATTACCCCCTTCTTCGCTGAATTCCAACTTTAAAATTCCGCCCCTTCGCCATTAGAAAGAAAACACAGAAAAACGTTTGTATAAGCCGCATGGTTCATAGTGTGAGAAAAAGGTAAAGGCAACGTTCAGACTGAAAGCAGCAGAAGCAGCAAAAATGCACGTGCTGCTTCATTTTTGATGCTTGTACAAGTTTAGTTCTGACGTATGACCTATCCTTTCTTTGCCTGTCACAATGGCAGCTATATTTGCTGTGATCAGTGGGTAAACAGTAGTTTTTAAGTGAGAAAGTCCGCCTGAAAACTTTATCTGTGCAGTCAGTTCATCCAGATTACCATCCTGCCTTCAAATATTATTTCGCCATCGGACGCACTCAGACCCCCGTACACCGGCGGCGTGCTGTCACTAGGAATCCCGTTAAACGGCAGCCTCTCGCCCGGTGTAGGTACCAGATCTGCTCGGGTCCTGCTTCATTCCAGTGACGTTACGCTACGTGATTAGCTGGATTGGTTACCCCATGACATAAAAAATTGTGGTTGCCCAGACAACGAAAATAACATCACCCAGCGTCAGTGTACAAAGTTGGGAGCATCTGTAGCGTTAGCGTGTCTAATGACTGATGAAGTTTTACCTGATCGATACCAAAACTGAAAAAATAATCTGTTCAAGGTGAACAAAGTTACTGTTAGTCCATGATAAAAAGGGGAAGAGTTGGGTAGCTAGCTGTGCTCAGTAGCTAACAGGTTAGCTTCTTTTAGCTCGGTCAGCTAGCGATATTACGCTACACAACTTTTAACTTTGTGTCAAAGACAACCGTTTGTTTTCTCCAAGTAGAATAACTGTTTTATTTGTCTAGAATCTCTATGAAAGTTATTTTTTAAGATGTCACATTTGTCCTCCTCTGCCCTCAGATGTAAATTAAAAGAATAAAAATAAACTGAGACTGTTTTTTGTTAGAAATCCTTAAATGGCAGAGCTCAGTCTTAGAACGCCGTACTTTCCTTCATGGCTGACAATGATTGTTCTCTACTTTTATACTTTTGAAATGTAAAATAATCGCAAATATATGTAATAATATGTTGAAACTCCAAGAGAGATTTGATTCTTAAGAAACGGGTGTAATACAGTTTGTCTGAGTGGAGTTGCCATATGTTGACATTATAAGAAGGGGCGGGGCCCCGAGCAGATCTTCGCTGTTTTCCGCTGCTGTTCGTGGCGGCTGGAAGGCGTTTTTCAAGTACTTCAGCCAAACTGCAGGCACCAGAATAATAAAAGTGAAAAAGATTTTGCTGGCAGGTTTTGAAATTTTAAGTTTACTTACAGTAGAGACGGTTCAACTTTTTGTCATTACAATGACACAAGTACAAAGCAATGAAATTCCCTCTCTGCATTTAACCCATCCCTTTGGGGAGCAGTGGGCTGCCATTGTGTGGCGCTCGGGGAGCAGTGTGGGGTTAAAGGCACACTATGCAACATTTTTCAGTTAATTAATGTAGTCCATAACGTTTTGGATGATTAAATGAGTCATTTCAGGTTGAACAAAGGTATTCTCTACCGCCCTGGTGGTCTGTGGGGGAAATACTGCACTTGCAATTGCAGGAGCACCGACCCGCGCCCACAGGCTCAGAAGTCTCGCAAGAGTCAGTCTTGCTTTACGGCGAGAACTGCTACACGCCGCCAGTTAAAAGCATTCTCGTTGCTAGCACAGTGGCGATCTTTGTGCAGTTATGCTACGTTCACATCGGACGCAGCAAAAGCAGCAAAATCGTGTCTGCTGCTTCATTTTTGGTGCTTGTACCAGTTAGTTCTGACGCGCGGCTGAAGCAGCTTTGCTGCTCTGGCTGCGCGGTGCAAAGTGTGTCTGACGCGCGTTGGGCGGAGCTTCACTATCCTTTCTCTGCCTTGCAGATATATTTGCTGTGATCAGTGGGAATAAAGTAGTTTTAATATGTGTTTAAGTGAGAAAATACAACTGAAAACGTAATCAGTGCCGTCAGTTCATTCAGATTATTATCCTGCCTTCAATATTTTTTTTTGTCTGAGCCGCTCAGACCCCCACATACCAGCGGTGCGCCTAGGAATCCCTTCATCAGCAGCCTCTGGCCAGGTCGCCTCCTCGCGGTTCACCGCGGCAGCTGGTAGGTGTTTTTCATCTAAATAATCCAAACTGCATATTCTGCCGGCAGATTTCTGCATTTTAAGTTCATTTAGGCATCAATAAGCTGTTTAAGAGGAGTGATCATAGCCTCTGATCATCAGCGCTGTGTCTCTCTCCCTGCGTCAGATGCTTCAACACGCCAGACGCGCTGCTTCAGTTGCTCGGACGCACTGCGCCTGCTGCTCAAAACGCACCGCGGGACCTTTTGCTGCGCCTTGACGCCCGTCAACCATTGACTTTGCATGTAAACTCGCTGCTTCTGTCGCGCCAGCTGCGTCCAGTGTGAACGCAGCATTAGTCATTCGTTGCGTTCGCCTGTCTGCTAAGCTCAAAACAACCGCACCTGGCTTGACGGAGAAACCAGGAGAACAGCTGTGCATATTTACGACTGTGCACTTTTACTTTTGCCCTCTGGGGGGAGCCTCGCTGGAAAATCAACACCGGTTGCATAGTGTACCTTTAAGGGTATTGCTCAGGAACCCAGATTGGCAGTGGGGCTCGAACCTCTGGGATCCGAACTCAATGGCCTAACCACTAGGCCACCACTCCCTCTAACTAATTTAGATGTTACTAAACTGTTTCAGAGGAGTGACCATAGCGATCTGCATCAGCAATGCTGTGTCTGTCTCCCTGCCAGCTCCCAGATCAGCTTCTCTTGGTTGGTGTGGTGCATTGATCAGAAAAATTTCAATTTTTCCAAATCTGCTTTTGCTGTTTCTGACGCGTCAGATGCTCAGAAGCTCATGAGGCCCTGCTCCTGCTGTTCAAAATGCGCTGCAGGACCTTTTGCTGCGCCTTGATGCGCGTCAACCATTGACTTTGCATGTAAACTAGCTGCTTCTGCTGCTTGCGGTCTTAACGTAGCAAAGGGCTTGTACTCTGGGAAATACGGTAATATCATACTTCCTGTTCTTATAAAACAAAGCAAGTGTTCTCATAATGTTTAAACAAATATTTAAAAATGCGAATCAGAAAACATCTATATAAACAGATTTTTTTCCTTTTCTCTAGCTTCTTTAACAGACAAAATGAAATGTCGGATCATTGATGTCTTTACAGTCAGCAAAACACAGAGTGCAACTGCAAAGTCTGCAGATCTATGCTTGGATGTTTTTATTTTTTTTAAAGCTTTAAGGACTAGAGGCATTTTCTTTCAATCCCCCAAACAAGAAATAGTGTCTGTTTTTACTACATGTTAGTTTTCTCCCAATGTCTTTCCTGACCCCCGCCCCCCCTTCCTCCCAGTCTGTCCCTGCAGCTTTCTGTCTAACCATCCCTGAGCTCTGTCCTCCCTTCTTGTCTCCTTTTTCTGCCGTTCACCCTGTCGTTTTGTCTCCGCAGTCACTGTATCCATCAGATTCTAGACAGTGTGTCTTACACGCACCAACATGACATAGTGCACAGGGACCTCAAGGTGTGTTTATGTCTCATTGTGTCCCTGCACTCACATGCCTGTGTCTTATGCTGTTATCTCTAAAACATGCCTGCGATATAAAGCGATTTGCCTGAGCCTGCTGTCAGTCCGTCTGCCTCCTTGTGCGTCTTTTGCTTTTTGGGATTCTTGTTGCACTACTTTAAACCATGGTGATTGGTTCTTGTTGGTCCTGGTGAGCAGGACCAACAGACCTGCTGAGCCCCAGAGCAAGAGTGTGAGTATGTGCAAGGATACGTTGGAGTGGGTGAAAGTGGGTGTTATAAAAATAAATGAGAGAAAAACATGCAGGTTAGACGGAGGGTCTCCCCACAGAGCTGCAAATCAACATGTGCTGCCATGTCTTGAGTATGGAGTGAATTCTGTTCAATGTATGACGCAAGAAAAGAGCGGGTTTTATCAATAAAAAAAAATAAAAGAAAGTGATCCAGGAACAAAACTTAGAAAAAAAGTGATGTACTTTTTCTCTTTTTGCAAAAAACCTTTTCACAATTTTATTTAATTGTTTTAAATTCTGTCTTTGATACTGAGTTTTTGTTTTTGAAAATTGCATTCTTTTGAAATTACGTTATACAGATCACATTGTCTTCATGCCCAGAACAAGGGTTTGTTCTTGACCAATAAAAATGTTGCTAACATCCATGCAGACCAATAGAAATGTGTCTTCTTCACTCTGGAGGAAAGCTCAACCCCCAGAAGTAAAGGGAGTGATCTGTAAAACACATTTTAAACAGAATGAAATTCATAAAACTCAATCTGACAAACAAAAATTAGAAAAAAAAGAAACTATAGAATCTGAAATTAAAACAGAATATATAATTTGACCATATTAAATCTGTAATCTGAATATGAAAAATAAATTTGGAAAAAAAAAATGGGAAAAATTAAAACTGAGGAAACCGCAAAGTTATGCTCAAAACCTACCAGTTTGCTTGTTTTTGGTTGAATTGTTGTTAAAATTCATTTTACAATATCTGTTCTTTGCTTGCAACAATAATGGAACAAAATTCACTCCATACATGAGCAACTTTTTGCACATTGTGGTGAAAAAAAGCAGTTCACCTTTTGCCCTGATCAGTTCCAGACAGTTATAATCCTCATAGGTCTCATCAGTGTGTGTTTCTGTAGGGGGGCTTTTGGTGGCGGACTGGTGCTTCTGCACGGATGTGACTGTGGTGGGCTGAATGTGTTTGGACTAACCTGCTCCCCCTGCTGTTTGCATGCAGTCATTGCATCCAGCAGATCCTGGAGGCCGTACTCCACTGCCATCAGATGGGGGTGGTACACAGAGACCTTAAGGTGAGTCTCCTGCAGGGGGGGTGGGGTCTGTGTGTCTTATAACGGTTTAGATGTTGAACTAGTAAAAAACACATGATGTTCTGTGTTAGGTGAAGGAGGAATGAGTCAGTCATGTAAAAAAGGGGGAACATCTGAAATTTACTGAATTTATTTATCAGTAGAAAAATGATTTAGACAGATTAGTGGATTCACTGTTTATGACAAAAACATAAACAACCAGATAGGCTGCTATGTTGTCCATCTTCAGTGATCATTGGATGAGAGGCAACGTAACTCTGGATATTTAGAACAAGAAAAACCACGCTGACACAGCCCTGTAAACCTTCCAGAGTTATTGCAGAGATCTGCAACCCGTAGCTTCAGAGCCACAGTTAAATCTCTGGAAGTTTTATAATTTTTCCTAAAAAAAACTTTGGCTAAAAATGAAAAACAACCAACTTATAGTTTTAAATATAAAGTCAATCTACAAATGAAGATTTGAACAGGGGTTTTCTTAAAGCACAACTGCATTGAATATTCAGGAAGAAAGACGTGAAAGTACCTGATAAATATTTTATTTAGATCGTTTTTGTCATTAGGGTTGAACTTTTTTTTTAAGTACATACAGTAATTGTTCAAGAATTTTAACATATCATTGAAGAAAATATAATATGCTTTTTGCAGAAAATTAGTTGTGCAAGAAGAGATTTTTAAAAAAAATCTAAAAACATCGGTTTTGAATAAATACATTTTGAAAATTAGATTTGAAATCACAAATCTGTGAGGAAAAAAAACACACACACAAAAAAATTATAAAAAAGAATAAAACAAAACAGAAAGTTACTACCCAAACTTTATTCTTATTTAAACATTCCTCAAACTTTCATTTCTGGATTGCATTCTTTGCAAATTTCCATTTAGAAATCGATTTCTTTGCTTGGAAATTAATGTATCAAAATTAACACCATAGCCCTATAGAATTAATTAAAGATTGAATAAAAAAAACACTGCTTCTTCCTGCACAATCACAAAAAAACAAAAAATTTTGCTGTGTTTGAATTCACGGTCAATCTGAACTGGATCCTTTAAAGTCCGTGAAAATAAGGAGAACGGAAGAAAATTGGCTGTGAATTCAAACAGATCTAGCCTTCGGCGTACGCTCTGTCGCCTAGCAACCGTGACAGTTGACACACAAAGAAGGAAAATACTTTACACTTTTACACTTTTTTATTGTTTATATTTTAACTCTTCCCTATGATGTTATTCTTATCCATTTTTCTAAGGTCCATATTTGTGTGACCATTTTCAATAATCTTTCTGCTGCAGTAAATTTGCCCATTGTGGGACAATAAAGAGATTTTCTATTCTATTTTATAAAAGGGGTAGAAAGATATAAGTAAATCTACACAATGTATGTATAGAAAATATATCTGCAAAATCTCTAATATTAAACATAAAAAAATACTTAGTTAAGCAAATTGTGCAAAACAGCAATAAAAAAATAAAAATCCTATCAGATTTATAGTCCCCACCCTGCAGATATATTAGAATCTGTCCTTAAATTACAGACAAACCCATTTACACAATAACAGATAAAAACCTTTAGATAGATCAAACATTACCGCCACATATTTGACTAAATAACCAACAACTATTTTCATTAATTTCAGACTGAACTATTCACATACTTGGATTATATTAAACTGAACTTCCAATATTCTCCACTGTTTGGCACTAAGTAACCTTCCTCTGATCACAGAGCAGCCGGCTTACTTGGTCTTGCAATGAATCCTGGGATATCCAAGGATAGTGAGGATACATCAGACCTGTCCTTCAAATCAGCAAAAAGGAGGAAGCATTTGTAGGACGTAATCGGCCTTTGAATCTGGACTTATGAGGACACAGCCCAAGAAATCGAACAGTGCCATTATTAACATTAGTAGCAACAACAATAAAGAAGGAGTTGCTGTCTTAAGAGGAGGGATTTCCTGAAAAGTAGCCAATCACAGGCAGTTTACTTTCTTTGGTTGGTTCCACACTCAAATTAACAGACATTGAAATTAGTGCAAAGAAACAGGACCACACACAAGTAGGAGAGAATCTACAGAACAAAAAAGCAAAATGAACATAGAAAGTTTACATGCATGTGTTTAAAATAAAACAGCTACTGTTATTGTTTATTACATGTAAGTAGCTTTACAATTTCTACATCAAACACAAAGAACAGACGGTAAATATCCAGTCAGTATGCAGCAACACCCAATATAACAGGAAGTCCATCCATCAGCTTAGTCATTACCTCTGATGGCCCCTTACACAAATATTGATTGTAGAGTCCATACAAGGCAGACTGTAATGCTGTAGCTTTTATTACTCAAAGGCCATATTGTCTGCCTGCATTTTGGTCTTTCTTTATTAAAACAGCGGCAACACCTTCTACTAGAATGAGGGATAATCAAAGAACACCTGCATGCATCTCCTGCTTTACATGAAAAGAGTTGGACCTGTTTTAAATGTGACGCAATTCCTCTAAAGCTGAGCTGCCAAACATCTGCAGAACATATTCTGTATCTCAACAACATAAAATAAGAAAACTTACTACACCAGCCTCTCTCCAATCTGAGCTGAAAGTTTGCAGATTCTCTTCCTTTGTTGGTGTCTATAGATGTGTGAATGTGGTGCTAGGTGTTGATCAGTGGTAAGTGTGGTGAACAGTCAGCATGTCCGTGCACGTCTCTCTGTGATCCTCACATGCATGCCTGCATCCGAACTGATTTGACCAAGAAACTGAAATGTTTTAGATGCTTTTAATCCCGCATGCATGTCTCTCTCCTTAAACACGCTGATCGTTTATCAAGATGTGGTTTTTATTTTTAACTGCGCTGAATGCAGCTTCCATGTTACCATAGCAACATAGAGCTGTAATTAACACTGTGTCTATAAACTACAACATCGCTGTTGGTCACTGAAGCTGATCTTCTGATACAATGTTTAACAGAAAGTTAGTCCTAGAATTTACGGCACAGGCAGATAATTAACCAGAAACATGAGAAAACGTTCGTTTAATAACCAAAAGGTCAGTGGGTTAGACACTTTTATTTCTCATATTTATTCTAAGTCAGATATTTATGTTGAAACAATAACCCAGCTGGTGATCAATACATATTTTGTGTAAAAACTAGTGTTGCATCGATGCCATTTTTTGGCCCCGATACCTGGCTGTGCTGTATCGGCCCATACCATCTGTTATAAATTGATGTGTGTGTGTATATATGAAGAACTGCACCCTACTTGGATGTAAAATAATTGCCATCATGGCTTTGTCAAGCTGCTACCTGCCTTTGTGAGGCAGGAAAAAGACTAATACAGAGTGAATCCAGTAGAACTTTTTATACCAGGGTTTGTTGCTGCGGTCCTTCCAGGTTTCTCGAACTCTTTGTGTTCGTTCACATGCTTCGAATTCAAATGTTTGATCAGGTTCGAATTATAGAAACTGCCCGGTTCAACTCCATCTCTTGAAACTTTCAGGTCGTAAATCTTGCATTTCAATCTGAAAAACTCAAACGAATGAATGAACAGGAGTAAAGAACAGTGATGTTTCCCCCCCAGGCCTGAATGTGGTGGTGGAGTGAAGATAGATGAAGTGGGTCAGTCTGTAGACTGCTGGTTAATTCAATTCAATTTCAATTCAGTTTATTTATATAGCGCCAAATTCACAACACATGTCATCTCAAGGCACTTTACAGTTCAACCAGATCATACAGTCAAATTGATTCAAAGTTTTCTATATAAGGAAAGCCAGTTGATTGCATCGACTCATTGACTCAAATACAATCCCTCACACTAAGCATACTTGTAGCGACAGTGGAGAGGAAAAACTCCCTTTTAACAGGAAGAAACCTGCAGCAGAACCAGGCTCAGTGTGAGCGGCCATCTGCCGAGGCCGACTGGGGTTCAAGGAGACAGAAGCAGAGATACAGAAAGAAGCAGAGATGCAAAAAGCAGCTGTAAAATGCGGCCCCGTCCAGGAAACACACTGCAAGACAGACAAGCTCCAAGCCAGCTTCCATGTCAGAGGATGAAGAGAGCACATCCTGCCAGTTACGGTCAGAGAAAGGTTAGTGAGACGGTCTGCTGAGCTTTATGGGGAGATCCAGTGGACTGCGTGAGCTGATACTAGAGCTTCACTCAGGGACCTGGAAGATGGAAATTTAGTTTGATAACATAGGTTGAGAGAACCTGTCCATGATAAGCAAGCATGAAGTGACAGTGGAGAGGAAAAACTCCCCGATGGGAAGAAACCTCTGGCAGAACCAGGCTCAACATGGCGGCCTTCTGCCGGACCGGTTGAAATTAGATGCAGAATGCAGTAAGAGTCTGGGAGGAATGACACTCTGATGAAGCTTTAGCTATGAAGGTGGAGGAGCAGGTGGAGGTGGGTTGAAAGGGGTAATCTGTATAAAGTCACACAGTGCATCCACTGCCTGTGCACTGGAGCAGACAAGTTGCAGATCGGAGACCTTTTAAGAGGAACTTTGGAAGCTGATTGGCTTTCATGGAGGTGTGGTTCAAAGCTGATTGGCTGTGTCCGTGGATGTAAAAGAGCAATGAGTTTCTTCAGTTGAACTTCTGGCTAGGCTCCATCTATCTAATGCACTCGCCGGCGTTTCTATGACGAAATACTTCAACACCGCAGACATTTTCTTCTCCTGCTTTTTTCCCCCACCGCATGAACACCCCAGCTTTGGTTGGGAGCGGCTATTGGCTCGCTCTCATTGGTCTGAAGCAGACCAACAGCGATAGTTAAGACTAGTGAGTGTCAGGAGAGAGAAGGCTGCGTTTTAGTGACATACAAATATCAAAATGGTATCTTTGCCCTATTTGTTGGTACTCGCCGATGTCGATACCACCATTTTAGCACTGGATCTGGGCCCCGCTTGATACTGGTATCGGTGCAACACTAGTGAAAACTAATCATTATAAGAAGATGCAAACACTGCATTTTTAATCCGTGAAAAGTATTAAGTGGTTTTTTTTTGTGTCCCCATCTTTATCAACTGATGATACATTACAAAAATGAATACGATTTTAGAATCATACCGACTCATTTATTTTTAGAGAAAAAGAACCAGAATAATTATGGAACTATGGATGCAACTTAATTATTATTGAATTATTGTAAAGTTGATTTATCTTATCAATAGACTAACAATTCATTGAAAAGCTGACATATCCTCAAAAACCCAACCCTCCTATTTTGTGTTTTTTACATTTCTGTCTGCATTTCTGCCTCATTCTGCAAATGAGGAAGAGATGCGTCTTATGCTACTGCTACTTATGGTAGAGCTGCTCCTCCACACAACTGAGGCCCCCGTAGAAATATGCTGAGATTAAAATTGTGAAAATAAGTCTTTTTAGACAAGACTTGTCCAAAACAAAAACAAAGCCAGCAGTACACATCTAGAAATAACCACTATTTCCATATTTGCAGCTTCTCGCTGTAACAGTCAGAAAGAAGCTCAGATGCTTCTCGTTTCCCCTGAAGTCATCTGTGGTAAATAATGATTTATAGTCAGATTCTGTTTTCCGTCTTGTTAGTAAATCAGCGTCTGAACAGCACAGACACCCCTACTGCAGGCAGACATGTGATGTTTTCTTCTAAATAAAAAACAAAACAGCAAAAAGGCGTTTGGCCCCATCTGTCAGTCTCATCCTGAGCTGCATCCACAGCTGTTGTTAGTCCTCAAATGTCAGAGTAACTGAGCTTCTCTTTAATCTCCTATAAAGAACAAGGAACAGAGCGTTTTATGATGTAACTCTAAGATTGTGATTTAAAATGTGTTTAACTGTTTAAATATGTTGCATTTGATAAGAAAACTGAAAAAAGTAAACATTTATGTCAGCTTTAAGTTTTAAGATATATTGAGTGATTTTGTCCATTAATTTTGAAGCAAAGAACTTGTTTAGTAAATTTTTAATTTCAGAAAAAAAAAAAAATCTATCCAGAAATGAAACAGAACAAGATTTTGGGAGGAACTTTAAAAATATATATATATATAATTAATAATATTTAATTTTTTCATTTTTTTTTACAGATTTTAGATTTTTTTAATTCTCTTCTTTAGATTAGGCTTTATGAATATCATTATTTTCAATTTGCATTTCATAGATCACTTTTTTTCTCTTCAAACTAAATAAAAATGCTTTCTGTTTATTAATGAAAATGTTGCTAATATTGCTCCAGCAGACCAATAGAAATGCTTCTTTGCTCATCACTCCAGAAGAAGGCCCGCACCCAGAAGTGAAGAGAATGTGATCTGTAAAGCTTAAAGGAATAGTACACCCAAAACATGATTAGCCTTCATTTTCTACTCACCCCCATGCTGAACAACACTCTGGAGTACTTTTTTGATATCTCAAATGCATCTGGAGATCTGGGAGGCTTCTTGATGTCTGCTGACATTCAAATAATGGAGGTCTATGGTGACCGAGACAGAAAGGTCCATAAAAGTCCACAAAAAACGTGTCAATATTCCTCCATACTGGTCGTCCAATGTATTCCAAGTGTCCTGAGTGGGTAGCATCCAGAATTTACTCGAAACAAAGTCATTTAGAATGTTTTTAGAGCACAAACAGTAGTGTATAGGATTTCCTGAAAGCGCGCACATGCGCGATCACGAGGCTACGGAAGCCGGCAGACCAAACCAGATGAAAGTGCGCATTCAGCTCGGCAAAGAACTCATGCTCTTCCTCAACACTGAAGTCCTCAGATATTTTTCTTTCGTTGTTTCTTTCTTTGCACAGGTAAACAGCACATTTCTTCTTCTACGTTTGCATTATTGGCAGAGCAGACGCTGAATGCGCACTTTCATCTGGTTTGGTCTGCCGGCTTCCGTAGCGTCGTGAACTCGCAGGCGCGCGCTTTCAGGAAATCCTATACTCTACTGTTTATGCTCTAGAACCATTCTAAATGACTTTGTTTCGAGTAAATTCTGGATGCTACCCACTCAAGACACTTGGAATACATTGGACAAGCAGTATGGAGGAACATTGAAACGTTTTTTATGGACTTTTATGGACCTTTCTGTCTCGGTCACCATAGACCTCCATTATTTGAATGTCAGCAGACAGCAAGAAGCCTCCCAGATCTCCAGATGCATTTGAGATATCAAAAAAGTACTCCAGAGTGTTGTTCAGCATGGGGGTGAGTAGAAAATGAAGGCTAATCATGTTTTGGGTGTACTATTCCTTTAACTTGAAAATAATCGAATTATATTTGAAAAAAAGAGATAAAATACCAATTAGAAATATAAATAATAAATTAAAAAAGAAGGAAAATATTTGAATAATTAAACCAAAATTTTTTCAAAATTTCATTTTCTGGATATAATTTTTTCTTTCAAATTTCAATTGACAAAATGTCTTCTTTGCCTTCAACAATAATGGAACAGAATTCACTCCATAAGTTCCCGGCTGTTAGAAGGTGAAATGAAAAATAGAAAAAGTTGCTTTTCCTACGAAAATGCAGTGTGAATGCAGTACACTGTAAGCAGTATAGTTGAAATGGCAAAAACAAACTGAAATTTAAAGCAAAAACTGCTGAAATGGTTTGAATTAACAGAAAACAAAAATGCTGAATTACTTTCCTAGAAATAGTGGAAGCCACAAGCAGAGACATGGCAGATATTTTAAAAAATAACTGCAAACTGAAAAGCTTAATGCGTGTCCAGAAAGAGAGCAGAATCAAGCCAAAATTGAAAAAAATAAGCTGAAATTTTATAAAATAGCAGAAACAGCAAAAAAAAAAGAAGAAAAAAAAAAAAAAAAACTTGAATCTTATCCGGTTGAAGAAAAAAAGGAGTAGGAAGTAAAATGTTGCTGAAGATGGTATTAAATCCAAATCAAAGTGTGAAATCATATGTTAATTTTAATGAATGCTTTACAGCAGTCACACAACTACAACAAAAACAGAGATAGTGCCTGAAGAGGACATGAACAGATTCTGTTCTGGTTCAAAGACAGAGAAAATGAATGGAAAAAAACCCATATGAGGACAATTCTCATAGAATGTCAAATTATCATAGAAATAAACAAATAGAGTGGCCACAAGGACGACATGAAGCAAACAACAATCAGACAAACCAAAACCAAAAGTGTGCCACAATTAAAAGGGGTTTGCTTATTTTATAACACTTTATCATTGAAAACCATATAAAGTAAAGAAAGCTGACATCTTAGCAGGCTTTTCTTATCTCCTGTTGCCAAGGTAACAAAGCTGCTGTTAAATTGCTGAACTCTATGCTAACTCTGTTTTGGAAAGTGCTTATATGCGATGGCAGGTTAAAATGCTTTGTTAGTTCCCAGTCGTAGTTCAGAAAGTTGTTTATTCACGCTGGTGATGTTCGAGGAGATCAGAGGTTCACACTCAGACGTGCACTGGAACCACACTCACTGGTTGGGGTGCAGGTGTGAGTTTGGTCGTCCAACAGGAGGAAATCAAAACATTCCAGCGCCTTGCAAAAGTACCCAAACCACAGAAACTTTATTACATTTTATTGCTGCACTGATGTAAAGTATGTCCTAATTGTGAGGTTCTTTTTGGTTTGTTTGTTTTATCTGTTGCAAAAAAAATTTGTAAAAGTGGAGTTTTTAACTTTTGTAACCACCCTTAACTCATATTAGATCCTTAGCTCTATGTGTATACCAGCTTTGCAGATCTATAGAGTGAAAGTTGTGCCTGATTTTACAGCTCAGTCAGGCTGTATGGGGTGCATCAGTACGGAGTGAATTCCGTACCATTATTGTTGCAAGCAAAGAACACGTTTTGTTAAAGAAAATTTAAAATAAATGCAGTCCAGAAATTAAATAAATAAGTAAATTTGCTGTTTTCACAGGTCTTTTTATTTTTTTATTTTATTCACTTAAAATAAATCTTTCTTTCATGTTTTATTTTTACTATCATTTTATTTTGTGAAAGATTTAGTGTTTTCCAGTTACATTTTTTATTTTTTTCTTCTGTTTTTTCAAATTGCGGTTTAGAGATCACATCTCTTCATTTCTCTTTAACTCTGGAGCAAAGACATTTTAAAGAGATTTGAATTCATATGAAACGGTTGGAACAGCCGCTGCCCTACGACTTTAAAAAATGCAATTTGTAAAACTCTTTCTGAAAAATATAAATATATATATTTAATGAAATCTGAAAAAAAAACACAAAGTTGCTCCCAGAATATTTTTTATTCCGATTTTTTTTTAAAGCTTTGTTCCTGGAATTAATTTTTTTTTTCCATCAAAAATCCATTTGCAAAACGTGTTCTTTAAATCTTTCTATGTCTCTCAGATTTATGCTTGGGCTTTGACTAGGCCAACCTAACACATGTAGCTCTGACTGTATCTTTAGGGCTTCCAATCTGCTGGAAGGTTGAACCTGCTGTTGTTTGTAGCCTCTAATAAATGGTCTCACTGGATAATTTAGAATTTGATCCCTGCCTAAGAACTCAGATCAGCTCTTTATTTCCTGCCTGAGGAAAGCATTTTAACGTGTCTGCTGTGTTTCTTGGTCTTCATGAGGCTGTTTGTTAATGACAGAAAAACTGCATTTATACTCAGATTACATTTCACACATGTAGACTCAAAGTAAAATGAGCTGCCGACAAAGGTGTACCAAAATATTAATTTTATAAACAGAAAAAAAAATTAAACTGTGTTTTTTTGGGGGAGCTAGTGTAGAAATTGCACAAAGGGAACAAATACTTTTGCAAGGCAGCCAAAATGAACCTCAGTCATTTCACCACTGAATTGTCTAAGCAGTTTGTAGTGTTGCTTTACTGACCCAGATCCCGTCTCACTCTGCTATCGATACACGTAGCAGTGCTGAAGTGACTGCTCATGTTTTTTGTCACGCTTGCAGCCGGAGAATCTGCTGCTGGCCAGCAAGTGTAAGAACGCAGCTGTGAAACTGGCCGACTTTGGACTGGCTATTGAGGTTCAAGGAGAGCAGCAGGCTTGGTTTGGTAAGTAACAGACACATACACATAAACACACAGCAACATGCATAAACTGCTATTTTACAGCACAAATACTTCAAACTAGCTGGTGCAACAATGAGATGTTGGGCGATGATTACAGGAGGTCACCTAAGCCCAGTCATCTAAAGCTACTGTTATCCCGTTTCATAATAATTAGTGGTGCGTCGATGCTATTTTTAGGCCCCAATACCTGATACCTGGCTGTGCAGTATAAAAATATCTCAAATCTGTCAAGAAGCGGTGTTGGGTTGAGGACCCAAAAGCAGAGGCAAGTTGGCAGAGGTGAATTTTGGTGGGTTTATTGAGATTTACAGATACGGAGGCAGGAATCAAAAATCCAACAAAATAACACTAACCAGAACCAAGGAGACATCAGGGGAAACCAAACTCTAGGAGCCAGGGAAAGACGAGGTAAACAGACAGACGTTTAGACGGGGATCCAGCAAACAGGAACTGAAGAGGGAGGCATTTAAAGGGGACAGAGAGAAAGAGAGGGCTAACGAGGGGATTGAAAACAGGTGAGGACAGAGCAGAAAACAGAGCTAGGGAAAGAGGACACAAGGGGGCAGCAGAGGACAACAAATGGAAAACCAAGAAAGCAGGAATAAACAAACCTAGACTGTGACAAAATCTAACTTCTCACTACCAGAAGTTAGCCATTCCTGCATTCAGAGAGAAAAGCAACACTGCTCTGTTTCTCCATTGAAAATGAGTCACACATTTGCAAAGCTTCACCTATTCCCCTTGAAAGCAGAATGTTCCTATTAAATTTAACATTATGTTTTTTCTATTGTTTTTTGCCTTTGGATCTGTTGCATGGAAATAGATTCCTCCCTGCCTTCCCAACTGTGTCTGCTTCTGTTTAAGTGTCTATAATGGTGCATTAACAACGAGTAAGAAACTTGTGAAAAATTAGCTAGTTTTGCTTGCATTGAAATTTACCTGACGAGCAAAGCAATTCACTGGCCAGGTGAAATGCTTGGCAACTTTATCGAGTTTGTTGGTGGAACCGGGACAAAGCAGCTAGATGTACCCCCATCTCTGAAGCTAAGGTACCACAGCTGTAGAACCGAGAAGGCCACCAGGGAAGCCTTGTCCACTGGGTAGACAGAGTGCTGCAGGCAGGAGGGAGGCTGATGGGAAGGAGAACAGAGTAGATCAGAGTACCCTGCTGGGCAGACAGACTGAAATTCGTGTTTGGTATGAATGTACCTTAAAGGAAAAGTCTGGTCATATTCAGAATACAAACTTCTGAAGGTACTTTAAATATGAAATTATTACATACTGTTCAATAAATGCTGCGATGGACTGGCGACCTGGCCAGGGTGTACCCTGCCTCTAGCCCATTGACTGCTGGAGATAGGCACCAGCACCCCTCGCGACCCCATAAGCGTGCTAGAAAATGGATGGATGAATATTCAATAAATAGTTGTTTTAATTAATAATAATGAAGAATTATGTTATTATAACAATATAATAAGACATCCATGTTTGTCAAAGAACACTACTGCCACCTACTGGTTTGTGACGTCACAGTGCGGTATCGGCTGTTGATCAAGTCCCAGTGCTGTATCTGGTGTTTGTCACAAGGCGCTATTATCCAAGTCATCTTGAAAACATTCTTCTTCCAAATGTTGGCTACATATTACATGTTTTTTCTCTGGCCAGAAGTTCGATGGCCCTAACCCTAACCCTTCAAGTTGGCAATCCAACGACGAACCCGTCCGTGGAGGATCAGGAATCAGAAAGGTGAAATAACTATTTTTTTCACTTTTACCCGATGGATTCCAACATCCATCTGCCATGCAAGTGGGCATTGTCAGTTTCACTATAGCTCTGGTGAATTTCAATGGTGAAGTCCTCTGGAAATCTTCAATAATTGTTGTTGATTGCAGATGTGTCTAGTAGTTCCCATTGATTTTGCTTGTAAACGGGGAGAATGGCGCTAGGCTTACTGCACCGTGACGTCACTGCCGGGAGGTGTCAGCAGTGAGGTATTACTATATTTGGGCAAAATATAAAAATATAAAAATGAAGAAAATGACACATGCTCTGAATTTACTCAACAGTTTTGATCCAGAGCAAAGGTACAGCGTCAAAGAAAAAGGATGCGCCAAAATAAAAGCTCTGTGTGTTTGTCATTTATTTTTGAGTTGCACATAGTGCTGTGATCTTTGGAAATATTGCTTAGCTTCTTGGGTTCTGGTAAAACATTTACACTAGCTTTTCATAGAAAACCCTTCAATTCAGTTTATTTCTATAGCGCCAATTCATAACACATGTCATCTCAAGGCACAGTTCACCGGATCGATTGATTCAAAGTTTTTTATCTAAGGAAAACCAGTTGATTGCATCGACTCATTGACTCAAATACAATCCCTCACACTAAGCATGCTTGTAGCGACAGTGGAGAGGAAAAACTCCCTTTTAACAGGAAGAAACCTCCAGCAGAACCAGGCTCTGTGTGAGCGGCCATCTGCTGAGGCCGACTAGGGTTCAAGAAGACAGAAGCAGAGATACAAAAAGCAGCTGTAAAAGGTGACCTGGTCCAGGAAACACGAAGCCATACTGACGAGCTCCGAGCCAGCTCCCATGCCAGAGGATGAAGAGAGCACATCCAGCCAGTCACAGTCAGAGAAACAGGACTAAAAACAGGCCGATGTCCAACATCTATAAGCAAAGGTGTTGATAGCAGCAGCACAGCTGATATTTCCCTTCAACCCTCCCATTTTATTCACAGATGAACAATTAAACGTCCCTAATCCCTCCTTCATTAAACAAGAGCTGCCGAGACACAAATTCACAAGTGCATCTCTAGATGAATCCTCATCCCCCCCCCCCCCCCCCCCCCCCTCCTTGTGTAGCTCTTCAAACTGCGTCTGACCAAATTCACACAGCACCAAGAGAAACCAGACATGTCAATACTTGAGGTAACAAGAGCAAAAAGTTTCCATTGATTGCTCTGACAGAGGCAGAAGCTGATGTTTAAATGCTGCCGGTGGGTGGAGGAAACTCATTAGGACTCCGAGGAAAAGTTTCCTCTGTGAGTGAAGGCAGACAGATCATTTAATCTTTAAAGATAAGAAAGCAGCAGGCAGCAGCAGACAGGTTCCAATGCTGGAGAAGTTCAACACAAACCCAATGAAAAACGGAAACCAAACGGTCAGATGTAAAAATCAATCATTATAATGATAGATTTAGCTACAGATAAAACTAGTGAAACAGACTTTTGCAGATATTCTCCACTGCTGAAAACACCTCACAAGGAAGGTCACTATGGCTACCCAAAAAGTTGCTAGAAACTGCTAGATGATGTCATCACCTGAATTGCATATTTCTACCATGCTTTGATTGAGGCATAGCAGAAAGGAATATTAACAGGAACTGATTTAAACAGCTAAACATGTTTAAACCAAATATTAACTCTATAAAATCATTTTGGTAACATTTCAACTAAACCAAAACTATATAAATCAATCTTGTTATTTCATCAAATTCTTAAAGGACAAGTCTGTTCAGCAAAGAATAACCAGTGGGTCATTATTTATACTTAAAACTAATACATTTGTGGGAATTTAATGAATTTAATATTAATCAGTTAAAGAATAAAAATAAGTCTGGGAGCGGCCATTTTTGCCCAAATATAGTAACACCTCACTCCTGCCATCTTCCGGCAGTGACGTCACGGTGCGGTAATCCTAGCGCCATTCTCCCCGCTTTACAAGCAAAATCAATGGGAACTACTAGACACATCTGCAATCAACAACAATTATTGAAGATTTCCAGAGGACTTCACCATTAAAATTCACCAGAGCTATAGTGAAACTGACAATGCCCACTTGCATGGCAGCTGGATGTTGGGTAAAAGTGAGATAGAGTTAGTTCACTTTTCCGATTCATGATCCTCAACGGAAGGGTTTGTCGTTGGATTACCAACTTGAAGAGGGAAGATTTACCATCGAACTTCTGGCCAGAGAAAAAACATGAATATGTAGCCAACATTTGGAAGTTTGAAGTTTGAGCTCCCCTTAAACATAAGAGCTTACTTAGCTAATAACTTAACATATTTGACACTTAACCTATTCAGACATCTTTGTTTTGTCTTGTAGGATTTAATCTAGAGGTATGAATTAACTACTTATCTTCAGAAGTAACCCATAACTTCTCAATCTGTTGGTCCAAAGTGGTCTGCTAGAAGACTTTAAAATGGATAGAGACTCTTTAGAGAGACTGTTTAACTATGAGAATCTTCAATTTTGATTATTAACGGACTGAATTTATCTACAGTTACAAAGAAACTGTTAAAACCTCAAATGATGGTCGTGAATCCTGGCTGTATGGTTAAAGCTATTCTCAGTCATTGTCATTAGCATTTCACTGATATATAATGCTGCTGAATATGGACAATGCCTTAGGTTTTTAGTAGTTCGATGTTGTCATGATTAGGGGATATTTTTTTGAGGACCCAAATGCAGAGCTGAAGAGGCAGAGGCAAATTTAATGAAGAACTAAAAAAACAGAAGCCATAATCCAGAACTGATCGACAAGAAACTCAGGAACCAAAAACTAGGAGACCCTAGGGAGAAATAATCCGGAGCAATGGAGGAATGAGGAGAATCCGGCAAACAATAACTACAGAGCAGTATGGGGGTCTTAGATTTTAAAGGATGCATCCTCCAAGGACCCGGTCTATCTGGACCGGATAATTTTGAGGTCCGTGAAAATAAGGTGGCCAGAAGAGTTTTGGCTGTGAATTCAAACAGGTCTAGCCTTCTGTGGCTTTCACCGCTCGTACACTCTGTCGCCTAGCAACCGTGAGAGTTGACACACAAGGCAGGAAAATAACTAATACCGAACTTTTCAAAACTGTGGCCATGGACTGGTGTCCTCACCAAGTATGTTCTCGAGAAAAACACAGGAAAGTCTGGACTCGAGAACGGGAGCACGCAGAATAAATATGGTTGAATTGGAACAGAGCAGTACTC